AGAGGAGACGACCTCAGCCCGGCGTGAGTGGTGGTGAAAAGGCCTCGTGCGTTTGCCCTTAAAATCGGCTTTTGTTAGAGGAATGTGCGTCAGTTAATACGACAGGTAGTATGTCATCAGTGTGAGAAATGCCATATTTTAGCCACGGGTTTTTAAGAGCTTTTTTCTTCCTCCGTGTTTTCACTTTTATTTTCTTTCATCAGTTCACTTTGTCCACGTTAATGCCCTATTATCTGCAAGCGTTTAATTGCAGAAGCTCTTTGCATCAGTCTGCTGAGTGGCCGAATTAGTCTTTCTGGCCAGGTGCCCCTTTTTGTCCTCGCTGTTTCAGTTGTTGCTGTTTTGTTGAGACCTTTGTTACTTAATTCGTGGTGAGGTTAAGTTGTAAGATACGTGACATCTGAATTGTGTTTATTTTTGAGGACGAGGAGTGCTCGTGACTGGGCAGTCTGCTGCGTATGGGCAAACCAGCGAGGGATGTTCTTGCAGCTTCCCACTGCCAGATGCAGTTAGACACTAAAAAGTTGCTTCTCCGAGCAGTTAGGACTTTAACCCTTCCTTTCTGTTCCCACCACCATTTCTTCCTTGCCACTGTATCCCCTTTGGATATGTCGTCAGTAGAATAAAATAGTCCCATAGCTAAATTGTTCTTACGCTCTAGAAGCCTGTTTTTAAGAGGCTGCAGATAGGGTTAGTTGGTGTTGACTGTAGTGTCTGATATTTGTAACTTCAACATTTTAGGCGTTTAAAGATACTGGCAAAGCACCTGTGGAACAAGAGGTAGCAATTCATCGCATTAGAATTACTTTGACAAGTCGCAATGTAAAATCACTTGAGAAGGGTGAGTGATAACTTGTTTTTTTGGCTGGGGTTGCTTGTTAACTAATGAATGATATATATGATATACTGTATTGCAAAAGACAATGTATTGAAACCAGTTGTAATTAAAGACGTTGGCATTTGCCTGTCTGTATGTGACTTGGCTAACAAAGTCAACCCAAAGCGCTTCATACGTGGACAAGTAGATTCTAATTTAATTTTTAATGGAAGCTAGTGTTCAGGGGTTTTCATCATGCTGAAAACTTCATGTCGTAATGACTAACTTAAGAGAGTGCAGCTTCTTCCCTTTAGTTCTTGTGGGGTTTTAGTTGTCATTATTGAATGTATAAGAACTGAAAGGCACCGGTTTCTTGATTGATATTTTGTCACTCTTGTTACGAAGAGTTTAGTTCAGAAGTTTAACATTCTTTAAGAAATTTTTTAATCTTGTTCAGGAACTGGCTTTACCAGTGTTTTAATCATATAATGTAAATGTTGTAGAATCACTGTTTGATGCAGGATCTTCAGGCTGATAACAACTTAAATACAGCTTAAACTTGTAGTAATGACTTTTGCCTACTGTTGTAACATGATTTTGCTAACCATGGTGTAACGCTTCCACTTGTATGTGGTTGGCTATGAGGATAACCCTTAAAATGAATGGCAATGATCATTTCATACGCTATTCTGAGCCAACTTCTTGTTTGAAATCTTCACTTAAGAAAACAAGCAAAAAAAAAACACCTCACAAACCTGAGCTATTTTGTATTTTTTTTTCAGTCTGTGCTGACTTGATCAGAGGCGCTAAGGAAAAAAACCTAAAGGTGAAAGGACCTGTTCGCATGCCCACCAAGGTACTTAACACTGTTTTCCTGTCTTAAAAGTTTGGTTTTTTCTGCAAATGTGCACTTAAAACATCTTTTTTAAAAAAAAAAAGTTGAGATGAAAAGTGGTACTACTAAATTGAGGATGACCCAGTGTAAACAGATAATGACTTCACAAGTTGCTTTGACACTTGGGGCAACTGTTCAGTGCAAAAGATGTTGAACGTGGAAGGGGCTTTTTCGTCCTTCAATTTATTTTAATTGTGAATTTTTTTTTAAATTAAATTGACTATAAGGAAGGAGTGTTAACTTCAGTAGAATATAATTTAAGAAGTAACCTTCCAATGACGTAGGTACCATACAGTATTTTTAGGTGGATTGATTTGATTGTAGATTAGTCTTCTGTATGCATCAACTAAATACTCTGTGTTTATGATTTTTCTTCAGACTCTGCGAATCACTACCAGGAAGACGCCTTGTGGTGAAGGTTCCAAGACCTGGGATCGTTTCCAAATGCGTATCCATAAGCGGCTCATTGACTTACACAGCCCTTCTGAGATCGTGAAGCAGATCACTTCCATCAGCATTGAACCAGGTGTAGAAGTTGAAGTTACTATTGCCGATGCCTAAATGATGGTCATCAATAAAGTTGATTTACAAATTTTCATCACTGTTTGTTTTCATATGCGTGCCAAGAGTCTTGGGTAGCCCTGTGATGATTTTCATGAAGGACAACAGAGATCATAATCAAAATGCTGTGTGAGAGGATTGTATGATATTTAAGGAAGAACATGCCAGTTGTAAACGTCAGGAAGATGAAACTTGGGCATCATAGTTTCATTGGAGGTTGGTGACTGTATGGATGTGCAGCACTTAAATTGTTAAAAATATATTTTCCATAAAGGATTTAACTTTGGCTGAAATCTTAGTCTATACCCAGACAAGCAGTAGCATTAAAATTGATGTTTAGGTAAATCACCAAGTTTTCAATTCTTAGTTTTTGCTATGCAAGGCTGAACTAACACTTAGCTTACTTGGCTTTTTCTTTTTCCAATGCTTTTCACAGTCAGTGGATCCTGAGGATTTTAGTTATAAAACTCCATAATTTTTGGTGAATATGTTGAATTTAGCAAGTTCTTTCTTGAGACTTGCATGTAGAGTCACAAAACTAAGCTGTGAAACTCTAGATGTCTTTCTAGGTTTAGATTTCCATAGATTTCAATCTTAAAGGTAATATTAAAGGTAAGCTTCATGTAAAGCAATAAACCAGCCATTTTCATTGCTGCTACTTAGGCCTCTCAAGTTTGGTGGTGGGTTTATCATTCTGCAAACTAATCCTTAAAGGAACTATGATTAATTCTTAAACCTACAAGACATAAAGCCCTGAGTTCCATGAAAGAACACGGTTTCATTTCATCCATTTAAGATCAGGTTGCAGCTTCTGCTTCAAGCATAGGAGAGAACTTGAATTCTAATTAAACAAGCAGAAGTGAGGAAACATGCAGTTGCGTGGACCTTGAGGTCCCATTTGTATTTGCTAAGACCTGAAACAGTGGCCAAAGCTTAAGCTTTTTTACTCAAGGGATTCAAGAGGCCCTCACCTGCCCTCTCGTCTTAATTTCATTAAATGTAAAGCCTTAGGAGGATTTAATCCCTCTAGTTAGCAGGCTCAAGAGCTCTGGTAGAAGGGAGAGGTGAGAAACTTAGTTGCATTTACACACAGGGATTGTGACAAGCCTTCTTCCTTGGGAAACATCTCAAAGAACTGTGTGAGCAGAGAAAAAAAACCCTGTGTCTTCCTAAAGGTCAGTTTCTAGTAATATGTTATAAATACGAGCTGCCTGACAAATACTTCTAGCCTTAGTTTTAAAATTATTTGTATTTTATGGGGTGCTCTGAAAAGCATGGTAAGAACTCGACCTTGTGACACCAGTCAGATTAAAAGGGGATAAACTGGGGCAGACAAGCAACAGACCTATTGCTACCTGAGGCTGACCGACCTTTGTGCATGGTTAGTTACTAACTCTCACCCAAGTCATCTTCCTTCTGCTTAACGCAACAGCCTTCTGACCGAAAGCACTTGGAGGGATCTAGAGAGGGGGGAGCTGGCTAGCTTTGACATTGTTCCAGTCTTTGGTCTTTACTGTTGGTCAAAGCTTTTTATTGGCTTGCATCTGGCTGTGCCTTTGACTTACATGGTGCTCCTTAAATGTACCTAAATGACCTAAAGTCCCATCTATGTTCTATGAGGAGCTGTGGCTTTCTAAAAACCAGTTTTCTGTGGTCTTTTGAGTGCGTGTCTCTCTTTTCACAAGCCTCCAACTTACTTCCAAAAACAAGGACAAATGCAGCTTCGCCTTTGCGTCTGGGTCTCGTACTTCACGGGAATAAAACTGTCTCCCTGCTCTCTGAATAGACAGGTTCATACGTGAAGGTTTTCCGCTCTTGACCAGAAAAGCCGATCGTTTGCCTGTCGAAGGTGATGGGCCGTAGGCCCCTTCGGAGCTCCTGCAGCGGGGAGCCGGCCCCGTCTCCCCTCGGCGGGGTTCGTCCCTCCGCCCTGTGGGCGCGCGGTTCGGGCGACCTGCCCCCGTTGTTCTGGCTTTATGTAACCTGAACATTTTGTGACATATTTGTTGTCTACTTAGTTTACGACAACACCGCGTGCTGTCGAAACGGTTACACAACAGACATAATAACTTTATATAACTGTTTTGATGGAAATATTTAGGTATCTGCGTCTCCCCCCTTTCTCCCCCTCCCAGCAAGCTCTCCGTCAGGCAAGGCAGCCCTCCTCTGGCCGCTA